TGGGACATGCTGTCCTGTGGGACCACGGATTCCTCGCTCACACTGCACCTGTTACGGTCATCCGGGGCCTTCCCGGACCATCCTAAGGCTAGGATTCTACTCTAAGACCCGGATTCTGGTTTGACATCTACTTGAACTAGATGTGTGGAATTGAGCTGGTAGATCAAAGTTGTGGTGAGCCTGTTGTGATTTTCAGTTTGGATTCTGTCGGGGGCAGTCTCTTTGGGGACTGTACAGCAGCATTCTTTAACCTACCTCTCCTTGAGAATCTTTTTTTTTTTAAAGATTTATTTATTTATTTATTTATTTATTTATACATGCACTGGGTACAGTCAGAAGCACGGGAGGGTGAGAGAATTCACCAAAGCCAGAGCGGGGAGTAGAACAGGCAGAAGGACTGAGGTTCACTGCTGAGGGGAGCAGCGGGCAGCAGGAGAGGTCTGCACGCCATGTGGGACCCTCCTCTGGTGGCTGGGAGCAGCCGGGGATCGAACCGGCGCTGCAGAGGCTGCGGGCAGCTTCGCAACCCAGCGCTCAACCGCTGCACCACCGGGGAGGCCCTCCCTGAGAATCTTTGGTTCTCTCTTGGTTCTACCACTTACTAGCTGTTTGAAATCTTGGGCAACTTCTTTAACCTCTGCATGTCACTGTCTTCCTCTGTGACATGCATAGTAATAGTAGCAGCTTCTTAGAGTTGCTGTGATACTTGAAGGGATCAGTGTAAACTGGTCAGAAGAGTACCTGGCTTTATAAGGTGTGGTAGGTACTTCCACCGGGTTTGCATAATGGCCAGAAAATAAGAGAGATGGTGAGGTTATCTTGGATCGTCCTGATCATCCCCCTTGTGATGATGATCTTAGAAGAGCTGGAGAAGAAATGATGATGGAAGCAGAGGTCAGAACGATGCACTTGGTGGTTGGGGGCCCCGAGCTATGGACTTCAGGCCCCTCTAGAAGCTGGGAAAGGCAGGGAAATAGATTCTCCCCTGGAGTCTCCACAGGCAATGGGATTTCTGACCTCTGGAACTGTAAAATAATGTTTGTATTACTTTAAGTTGTCACACTTGTGGTGCTTAGTCATAGCAGCAATAGGTAACTATTGCTAAGGGCTAGCCGTTTCTTCTGCTCTTACTATTGTTGACCACAAAAAAGCAGCTGTTACACTGACAAAAACCAAAATGGGTTTATGCTGAAACAACAACGAAAAAGCAGTTGGGTAAGAGTGGTCTGCTGACCAGCTCGTGTGCACTTGCCCTTGACCAAGAGCCAGCACCCCTTATGCATCCTCGGAGGGGGCTGCCCCGCCAAGATGTGTCCTCCACCAGCTGGGACAGAGAGGCAAGGCTCATGGGGTCCTGTAGTTTGCTGACTGCACAGGTTTCTCTCCTAGTCTCCTGATGTCATTTAAATAGGATTTCTGTATATTAGCTGTCACTCTGTAAATAAGGTTTTCCTTGAACACAGGGAATCCGTGGCCCCAGACAGCTTGAAAACCAGTGGGTGAGGTGATTGCCAGCACCCACCTCTCGTCTAGCTGCTGTGGGGGCTGGACTTTGTAGTCGGCGCCCCACCCTGGGGCTCTCCGCCTGTGCTGAAAGTGTGCAGTGAGATACGGGATGGGGGAGGGTGAAGTTTGGGTGATGATGTCCAGTGTGGGACCCCTGTGGGATTCTCGGTAGTGAATGAGAGTGAAAAGTGAGTTGTGAGCAACTCACTTCCTTCTGGAGAGTTCTTCGTCACGAGATGTTCATTTCACTAACAGTATGTGCTTGTCTGTTTCATGCCATCTTGGCTCCGGGGCCTGCGCTTAGGGTGTATGCCTTTGCTTTGAGGCATATGCCTCATGAACTCAGCTTGTTTTCCTTTCACCCTATGCATTTGCCAATTCAAATCATTTTGGTGGCTGCAGACATTGCTTATTCTATGATTAAGAAGATCTCACTTCATGGACAGTGCAGTTAAACTGGACTTGGAGAGTTAGGGCCAGGAACGCCTTAACCTAGCAGTTGTGGAGATCATGCTGCCTAGAGCTGCTTGCAGAACAGCTTGTGATTTGGCCTTTGGGCCTCAACTGGCCAGTAATGCATTCAGGGCTTGGGAGATGTTTGTGCCTCTTTTTTTTTTTTTTTAAAATATGTGAAGTGGGATATCTCCTTTCTTTCTTGACTAACACTTTATTTTTTTAAATGTTTTATTTTTGTATGTATATATTTTTATTTTTTTTCACATCATTGTTCATTTTTAAACCATATTTGCTTCCCCCCACCCCCTCAGATGTAGTCCCCATAGAGTTTCCTTCACCAGTGCACCCGTGTACCATCACCTCTTGACTGATACTTTTGACCCTAATGGAGAGGCCACGTTGCTTTGTGCTCAGTGCTGCTGCCGGCTTTGCAGGCCTGGAAAGCAAGGACACTGTGAAGCCGGCCTGTCAGCCTAAGGAATTTTGTTTCCCTTTCACGTTACTTACATTAACATCTGCAGCATTTCCTTGGCAGGAGTCTGGCATGGAAGATAGTCAGTTCTTAGAGTCTGTCCCCTGTGTGGCTCCCAACAAAACACTGAGGAATTTGGTACGTGTTTTGATATGCAGAATGGGTGGCAGAGCTGTTTGGCATTAGCTGTGGCATGTTTGATAATCTAGTTATTTGCGTCCCTACATGCAAAGGAATGTGAGCGGCTAAATGCAATTTACCTATTTGAGAAAAGTTCTAGAAGCCACTGTAGTTTGTGAAGGGGCCTATGTGTTTCAAATTTCATAATGAGACAGGTTCATTTCTTTGGGTTGGGTTTTTATGTTCAAGCCTAGAATGACAGAACATGGGACATTTCAAGTATCCCCATTTGTGCTTTGACTGGTGGCAGGGGAAGTTGTGAGAGTGTGTGGTTCCACCCTCGTTACCAGGCTGATAACTGAAGAGTGGAAGTGGACCCACCAGAGAAGCGAGATGCGCTATTCTGTCCCTCCAGGGGCTTGTGTGTGTCTCCTAGTCCACGGGGTCTCCCACCCCATCTCTGATGATGGGGTGAGAAGCTACTTCCTTGTTTGAAGATCTTCGTGGGTGAACAGTGGCAGTTGGTGCCAGTGTTTGGAGGTTCTCCAGACCCAGATTGACAGTGAGGTTGGGTCTGTCCATGTGGTGTCCTATGTCTTGATGAGCAGATATCAAATCTGGCTCCATTTCTCCTTACCCCAGGAAAGCTCGCATGGCCTGTGTTTTGTCGTCCATCAGTCTGTAGATACATGGCTTAAAAATTCCAACCTGGGAGACTCTATGAAAAGTGCAGGTCACATGACTTCTTTTTAGTTAGCTGTCTTTCTGTGCATGCTCGGGAGTGGTGTCACCCATACACACAGCCTTGAAGGTATTTCAAGAGAGCAGTGAAAATAGGTAGGGGTGGGTGGTGATATGGAACACGCCTATGTGAATTTTCTGCTCAGTTAGCGTTCTTCATTTGAATCTTTCTGGATAGAAATTGTTACTTTATTTTTTTAATGTCAATGTAAGAATCTTTGGCTTTCATTCCTTGTGAGCTATCATATAATGACTGGAATAAAAAAGAAAATTACTCCTACTATTTTAGCTTCTTACTGAAAACAGCTCTCATTTTTGACATTGCTTGCTTCACTTTTTTGTCCATATTTATTTTTTGTGTGAGTATGTGGATCAGCAGTTTTGGACTATATTTTAGTTTTTTCAGCTTTTCAATTTGCTTGATGTAAAATTGCATGTTGACGCAGCCTGTTAATATTCATTGCTCTGAGATAAGGAACCATAGGCATGAGGAGTCACTGAGCAGCTGTTTTGCTTAGGAATAGGGTTGGGTTTGTCCCAGGACAGGGCCTGGGCTGTGGACAGTGGCTCTGGAGTAAAATCCAACCTGTGGTAGTAGCTGTACACCTTGGGACAAATTATTTTACATTCCTGAGCTTTAAACTCTCACTGTAACATGGAGATTACTTTATATCTCTCTCGAGTGTTAACCAAATGCCCAGTGACTTTAAGGCAAATATTAGCCTGTTTTAAAAGTTAGATTTTTTTTCTCCATAGTTAACTGGCTCTTGAACAACACTGGGCTTGGGGTACCAACCCTGTATGGTCAGATATCCACATGTAATTTTTCACTCTCTCCCCATTCCCAACCTTAACTAACTGTGGTCTTGGTATCTTTGGAGATTGGTTTCAGAACCCTTGAAAATATCAAAATTAGGGACTTGAGCACAAGTCCCTAATAGTCAGCACTGTATTCTCAGGTCCTGTAGCCACAGATTCAACCAACCTCAGCCAAGCAATGGTTGAATCCATGAATGCGAGAAGCCACAGGCAGGAAAAATAATCCATGTATAAGGGGACCCTTGCAGTTCAATCCCATGTTCAAGGATCAGCTGTATTTTCATCTCCAGTCAAACATGGCGAGGACTTCTGTGGGCCTTTTGCAGAGCAAATTCTAACATTTAAGCGTGGACTGTAGTTACCTCCTTGCTGCTGTTGGTGCTGAACGTTCTGTGAATCTTCTGGGTCTCTCTGGGTTTAGTTTGACCCTGGGGAAGGCTGTCTGGTTAGCCGACTTTGAGCATATGAGATCCTGTGTTTGAGACCTTGGCTTCCAGCCAGAGATCACCAAGCCCTGGGGATGCTATCAGGTGTTTGTGTTCCTGAGCTTTTTAATTGAGCAAGTCCTGACCTGAGTGGGCATTAAGAGGAAAAAAATGCCGTAAGCAATAATGTGAAATAGTCAGATATGAGGAAGAAGAGGGTGGAGGAGCGAATCAACATCCCTCCAGCACCTGCTCTGTGCTGAGAGTGGCACAGAGGACAGAAGCAGCCCAAAGAGGGCACCACATTCAAGATGAAAGGCACCTTGGCCAAAGAGTCTATGGAGTCTCTTCACACATTAAGCGGAGGAGAGCACCACGACTCTTTGTCTTAAGAGGAATAGATTTTCTTTAAGCCTAGACTCCAGACAAGGACCCAGGTAATCTCCCATCTTTCTTTCTAGGTCTTTCAGCAGCCCAGCGGAAGTTTGCTCATTCACTCAGAGACTTTAAATTCGAGTTTATCGGAGATGCGGAGACGGACGACGAGCGCTGCATAGGTATGGAAATGAGAGATTTTAGTTTGCTTCCCTTGGCTTGGACCACTGAGTCATCATTGCTTTCTCTTTACAGATGCTTCCTTACGTGAATTTTCAAATTTTTTGAAGAATCTGGAAGAACAGAGGGAAATTATGGTGAGTTGTGGGATATAAAGTCCAACGTTCAGTGGGAGAAAGTCTGGGTTTAGAAACTGCTTCTGGTGGAAGACTTGATGTCTTTATGGATCAAGGAACGCAGAGGTCTTGGGAAGAGACCAAGAAGAGTTTTTCAGCACCCTGATTTCTAGTCCCACAATGGTACTGGCTGTGGTAAGATCTCAGACGTGTTGCTGCACCTCTAGACCAAGCTTCTGTTGCTTTGTCTGCAAAATAGTGGGTTGCACTGTATCAGTGCTTTCTAGACTTTTGTTAGCTGTCAAGCATTTTCATTTAAATTGAGTCTCATGCAACCTATAGGTCAGGACGATAAGAACAAAAAAGCTGAGAGGCCAAGGGGGTCTTTCTAAGGGTGGCGTTGGACCCTGACTCATATATATTCTGTCAGTTTCTGGGCTGCGTGGGAGGGAGAGGACGTGAGCCTGGAGTCCTGGAAGCCCCACTTTGCCTGGAGATTCGGAATCATAATCACAGTAATGCAGTTGCCCTCCTGGGGGCTGTCCACATGCCGGGTGCATGGGGCAGATGATTGTATTTAACACACTCAGCTTTGAGATTTAAGGGTGTTGAAGACTATTTTCTCACCTTTCTTTTTTTGGGGGGCATCATTGGCTATATATTTATTTCTGTTGCTGACCTACTCTTCACCTCTGAATACTTGAGCCTGCATCTCATACCACATGTTTGCATAACCACAAAAGCATATATATCACACTTAAGAAAATGAACAATACTTCCCTAATAATACCTAAGACCCAGTCTGCACTCAGATTTTCCCTTTACCCCTTAATATAACTTGAATAGATTTTTTTCTTTTGAAAAAGGAAAATATAATTACAGTCCATACAACACATTTGATTGTGTTTCTTTAGTCTCTTGTATTTGAAAACAGCCTCCCTGACATTGTTTACACAGATGCTGTGTGTTTGAAGATACAAAGTCACTTGTCTTGTAGGATATATTACATTTTGAATTTTTCTGGACATTCCTTCAGTGTCTTCTTCTAATTTATTTCTCTCTCTTTTTTTAATTTTTAAAATTGTCTTTTTTTTAAACATTTATCATTTTTTAAAAATTTTCCCACCTTTCTTAACAAGCTTGTATTTCCATTCTCATGACTGGTATATTGCTCCCACTCAACAGTGATTTATTATGCTACTGCCCCTGGATTATGTAAATATTATGCACTCCCTATTCTTAGGTTTTAAAAGAAATGGCAAGCTATTTTTTCTGTTCTGGAGAATGAGTGTGACCTAGAAAGTGGGGTGATGTGTAGGTGCATGAGTGGGTTCAGGTGTGGTGGTAACAACACCGACCATGATAGCTAAGCTGGTTAACCTTTACTCTCCATGCAGTCTGTGCTGTTTGCCTTATATCCTTGTTTCCTTCTCCGCCCTGAGAGGGAGCTTCTGGTACTGCCGCCTGTTAGCACTCCGGGAGACGGCGGCTCAGACCCTTGGCCAGGGGCAGCCGAGAGCCGGAGCTGGTCATGACAGCAGCCGGCACACTGAGTTCCCTGCCTTCATGGCCAGTTTCCTGGATGTCCTGTACGCTCCAGGTGGTAGCTGGCGGGCATTTCTGCTTTGTGGATGTGCAGTCAGGGAAGAGGTAGGATTGTGGTTTAAAAGCGACAGAAACCTAGTTTGTCCTGTCTCCAGGCTCCGTGATAGTTTGTGTATGTTGTAAACACTGCAGAGGGCATGTGGCGGGTATTATGATCTGTTAGGTTTTTCTGACACAAACTGACACGATCCTGCAGCCACTGATTTTTCAACTGTTTAGGAAAGTCTAAATGTGGTGATGGATAAAAATAGCCCTGTGACGTAGCCTTTCTGCCACGCGGAGTGGGCGCCAGCGTGTGGGTGCTCGAAGTGCCTGTTGTTAGCTTATGTTAATAGCATCAGCTTTCTTGTTCTCAACCCTCACGGAAAGTTAGTTGTACTTCCCTGCGAGCCTGAGGATTCAGCGACTGTCTCTGATCTCCTCTTATGTTCCAATTGCTGTCTGGAATCTGAGCACCCCGAGACAAGCAAAGCGAAGTCCCTGCCCTCACGGAGCTTGCATTCTAGAAAGGGGAGGTAATAATAAACCTATAATCATTATCAGGGAGCAGTAAGTGTTACAGTAGAAACTAAAGGAGGGGAGGTAGTCAGGGAGGCACGGGCGGGGTACCATCATATCTGGAACGGGAGGGAAGGCCCTGTTAGCACAGGACGTGAGGCATCAGCGTGGTATCTGGGCAGGGTGGCACCTGCGTACTGGGTGGCCTGCTGTCTGTCCCGATATTCTGTTACTGTTTCATGTTCCTTGAGATGACTCGACTAGGTAAACAAACTGGAATGTGGTCTTTGCTCCAGGCTGCCTGCTGTCCACAGCAAGGTTATCAGTGGCTGGCTTGCTTACTGATTCAGTCTTCAGCTGTGATGGGGGCTGACAGGGCCTGGGGCTCGGGGAGGAGAGAGATGACAGCACTGGGATTCTGGGATGGGGTAGAAGAAAGAGCAGGGTACCGTCTGCACCAGCCATGTACCTCAGAGAGGAGCGGGGCATTTGTGGGAACAGCACAGCCTGCTGGACAGGGGGAGACCACGTAAGCCCCAAAGCAGTGGGGGCATGACCATGAGCAACCAAGGAATGAATGGAACATCTATTTTTTTTCCCAGCTTTTTAGTTTGGAAGATTTTGAGTGTGTGCATAAGTAGGGAGAGAAATATTAAACTACTGGCTCAATGGCCAGCTTCAGTAAACATCGCCACATAGCCAGTCTTCTTTCTCCTCTGCCCTGCTCCTCCCCATTATCTTGACCTTTGCCATTATTGTTTCAGCCACACCTCGGTCTATAGCCTTAAAAAGGAGGTTTTTTTTTTTGAACCACAGTATCTCTGTCACACCTACAAACAGGACAAGGGTTCTTTACTATCGTAAAGAATTAGGTTAGATTAGTTTTGATATTCTTTCACAACCCCCGCCGCCACTGGTTTTGTTTAAGTCTAGATCTAAACACTTCACACTTGAAGTGTCCTCTTGTCATCTATGGGTTTCTCTTCCCTTCTTTTCTTTTCTTTTCCCTTGAGAATAATTTCTGATCTTTTCTCTTAGCTTTAAAAGACCTTTAAAATAGTACTATATCTGAGATATCACTGAGTTATAATAATAAAAGTGAAAAAGTTGGCCATTAACGCATGTTGATGATATTTGGATATTTTTTCTAGTCACTTATCACTTTCTACCACAAATAGTGCAAGGAATTATGGCTACTTTTGGTTCTTGAAATAGCTTTGAGTAATTAGTAATGAAATCATTGATGCTTTACCAGGCACCAGCCTTAAATTAAAAAGTTTTTTAAATTTAAGTATCATTGGTTACATTATATAGGTTCCAAGTGTACATCATTATAAATCTGTAGTACTACAGTAACCACAGTAAGTCCCATTTTATTCCTCACCATACAGTTGACCTCTTTTATCTGATTTATCCATCTTCTTACCTTCTGGTAACCACTAATTTGATCTTATAATCTAAAAGTTTGTTTTTGTTTTATTTAGTTTATCCCTCTGCTTTGAAATCAAATATGAGTGAAATTATCCAGAGTTTATCTTTCTCCTCTGAACTTACCTCACTAGGCCTAACACCCTTTGGGGCCATCCATTTTGTGGCGAATGCTGGGATTCTGTCTTTTTTTTTTTTTAATAATGAGTATTTCATTTTGTGTATAGACCCCTTTCTTTATCCAGTCACCTGTCTGTTGGCGGGCTGCTGGATTGTTTCCAACTCTTGGCTGTCGTGAACATGTGCACACAGATATCTTTTCAAATTAGTTTTTATATTTTTGAGTAAAAAACCAGAAGTGGGATAACTGCACTGTATGAAATGTCTACTTTAAATCTTGGGGGAGTCTATATTGTTGGCGAGAGAGGCTGTGCCAGTATGCATTCCCACCAGCATGGTCCAAGGCTTCCCTGCTCTCCACATCTTCTCCGACACTTGCTGCTTATTTTTTTGGATAACAGCTATTACCATAGAGATGAGGTGATATCTCATGGTTTTGATTTTGTGTTTCCTTAGTAGCAAGAGATGGTGAGCACCTCTTCATGTGCCTGTTGGCCATCTGTGTGTTCTCTTTGAAGAAGTGTCTCTTCAGATCTTCTGAACATTTTTTAATTGGGTTGTTTTGTTGTTGAGTTGTATGAGAGCTTTAAGTATTTTGCATCTCAAGCTCTTGTTGGATGTATGATTTGCAAGTATCTTCTCCCATCCAGTAGGGTCTGTTTTTGTTTTGTTGACAGCATTTGAATAAGAACTGCAAACTGCATGTGTTTATCTTTTTTGACTGCTGAGTAATATTCTGTTGTGTATATGTACCACATCTTCTTGATCCAGTCATCTATTTTTGGGCATTTGGGTTGTTTCCATAGCTTAGCTGTTGTAAATAGTGCTGCTATAAACATAGGGGTGCAGGTGCCCTTTGGAATTAATGTTTCTGTGGAGCTAGAAGGGATCATGCTCAGTGAAATAAGTCAGAAAGAAAAAGAAAAATACCGGATGGTCTCACTCATAGCAGGAATTCAGAAAACCTAAATAAGGGACCAGGAAAAAAACTAATTAATACAAAGTAAAAATCAAAACCAACAAGCACAAGCAACTATAAACTAGAGACACACTACAGCAGGGGTGGATGCGGGGAGAGGAAGGACTGGGGTCAAAATAAGGGGGAGGTGCAATTGTATGGGGAATATAACCAAAATGAAAATGCATACATTGTGCAAAAATGAAAAATGATGTAAGAATTATATAAAATAAAATATTAAAAAATTAATTTGCAAAAAAAAAAAAATAGCTAAAAAAAAAAAGGGATACCTCCCTTACAGAGTGCCCAGTGTGGTCCTGGGGAATGGTAGGAAGTGAATTAAAATCCCATACCTTTACTCATCCTTTGCTGGGCACTTGGTTGCTTTCATAACTGTGCTCCAGTGGACAGT